CAACTAAGCCCATGCGCCACAACTACTGAGCCTGCGCTCTAGAGCCCGTGAGCCACAACTACTGAAGCCCGCATGCCGCAACTACTGAAGCCTGGGTGCCTAGAGCCTGTGCTCCACAACAAGAGAAGCCACCGCAATGGGAAGCCCACGCACCGCAACGAAGAGTAGCCCCCGTTCGCCGCAACTAGAGAAAGCCTGTGCGCAGCAACAAAGACCCAATGCAGCCAAAAATAAATAAATAAAAATATACAGTCAGCTTTGCTATAAAGTTTACTTTAAAAAATGCCAGTTTTGTTCCAACGCCACTGATGTATTAGGGAACAATTTTATCAAAACGCTAAATTCACATTTGCTTATGTTCTGTTCTGTCTGCCAGAAACACTGGGTGAACGCAGAAAACTTCACCCAGATGAGCCAAGCAGCAAAGGAATGCACAAATGGCACAGGCACCTCAAACATCTCTCAGCAACCTTTAAGCCACACCCACCCCATCTGGGGGTCCAACGTGCCCCCTGATTTCAGATAACCCTCTTTTCAGATAACCCTCCTTCCACAGCTTCACATACTGCAATGCTTCCCACCCACAGCCACAAGCATCCTTGCAGACCTCTTTCCCAGTTCAGTGTTGTATTTATTGTGATAATTTTGTCTTTCTTATCTGCAAAACTTGTGTAAAACGGTGCTACTTGTTTTTTAGGTTCCTATCTTTATTTTTTTCTAATGTGCTGATGAAGTTTTTGAGTGTTGTGCCCTTAGCCCCATTTTTCTCACAAGGCCTCTGATTTTTGTTGCATGTTTTGCACAATTCAGGGATTTTTAGGAAGGCATATTTACATTACAGCAGACCTGACTGTATTGTGTAAAGGGCTTAGCACAGCGCCTGGCACATGATAAGCATTTAATCAATTTTAACTTGTTGGGCTTCCCTGGTGGCGCAGTGGTTAAGACTCTGCCTGCCAATGCAGGGCACACTGGTTCGAGCCCTGGCCTAGGAAGATCCCACATGCTGCGGAGCAACTAAGCCCGTGAGCCACAACTACTGAGCCCGCATGCCACAACTACTGAAGCCTGTGTGCCTAGAGCCCGTGCTTTGCAACAAGAGAAGCCACAGCGATAAGCCCACGCACCACACGAAGAGTAGCCTCCACTCACCACAACTAGAGAAAAGCCTGCGTGCAGCAACAAAGACGCAGTGCAGCCAAAAATAAATAAATTTATTTAAAAAAATTTTTTAACTTGTTAATAGTAAAAAGAAAATGGGGGGGTAGGAATTACTTAAATATCCAATAAGATTAAAATCATGGGGGAAAAAAAAAAAAAAAAATCATGGGGGCACTGAGCCATCCCAGAAGGTATGTGTGAAGCATTTAGAATAACACAGGAAGAGGCTTTAGGAATGAAAGATAACATAAAACACTGTAGGTGTGTATTACTACAACCCTACATTAAAAAAATTTTTTTCTCCATAAAAATCGATTAAGTCTGGAAGGAAATGTATCAAAATGTCAACAGCAACTGACGGGACTTAAGGTAATGTTTTTCTTTTTAATGAAAAACAAATTTGTACTATACACCTAATTTTGCAAAATCATAGACCTTTTAAAAGCTTAAAGACAACATAAGACGACAACTAAAGCAATTTTCAAGAAGCAGAAAAATCATCTCAGCCTGTTAACCCAACTCTTTCATGCCCCCATGCTCCCCGTCTCTGTTCAGCACATAAGTACCTGTTTCACCCACAGCTAGGGCAGCAGGCACACCCTGCTGAAAGCAGTTTCTTCCATTCAACCCTCCATCTTGTCTTTAGAGTAAAGATTATTACTAAGGGCAAGAATTTTGAAACTATATAGCTTGTGACTTTTACTTTGTATCTAGTAATGAACGAGAAATGATTTTCTTTTGAAAATCGCTTAAGGAGTAGGTGAGCATGAACTTGACTGTGCAAAAAAATCAATCCTACCAGCCTCTTTTTCTCCCGAGATCAACTGATGATTTATCAGGGAGAAGAGGGAAAAAGAGGCTCCACATCGTGAGACACTAATGTCTCAAGACATTAGGCTTTGAGCCTCTGCAAGACACTCCTCAGGAAATCTGTAATTGGAGTCCTCTTCTGACAAGGCTTTGACAAATTGGGATTCCTATGGCTTCTTATACCAGCGAAATCCTCAGAAAGGCCTTCACCACCTAGGCTGCCAGGAGAAAAATCTGCTAGCTCTAGGACAGGGAGAGGAGGTGCTGCTGGCCATCCCTTCACCAGCTCGCAGCCAACTGGTTACCAAGGTGCCACGTCAAAATGGAAGTTCTGGTCCCAGACATAAAACCTAGATGGAACCTCTGGCCTGTGCTGCTGAAATGGCCATGCCAGGGAACAAAGAAGTGGGAAGGAGTTATGGTCCCTGATTAGAATCTTTAGTAAAGCAACACCTGCTTCAACTTCAACTCTAAGGGCCTGACTAAGCAGCCCTTTTTCAGGATAGGAGACGAGGTCACAGGGATCTCTGATCCAAGACAGGTCTTCCTTAGCTGGTAACTAAGCCCAGAGCCTTGGGTTCTAGTCCCTTCCTTTCCCTGAGCCCCCGTATTCCTGCGTGTAACATGGGGTTGGGTTAGATCAGAGGGTCACACACTAAGGCCAGGCAGGGAACCTAATAAATGTCCAGGTGTGTCAGCCATCACACAGCTCTCCTGATCTACCTTCCCCTTGTCTTAATTATGAGAAAATCATGGGTTCGGAGGTGGTGGGGAGGGGCTTGTGGTGCAGCCGGCTCACAGCTTTGAGCACTAGACTCACTTTTAACAGGGTTCACGTGCTCTGGAGAACCAGGAGGAGACAAAATAACTTGTGAATCAGATGGGCTCCTTTGTATGAAACTTTCAGAGCTGTAAGGGAGTTTTATGGGGCTAAAGCAGGAGGAAATGACAGTCGAAACTGACAAGGGGAAATCTTACCAGCCTAGAAGCAAAGTTCTGCATTTAGGTTTGAAAGAAAATGAACCTTATGAAGCCAGGATTCATTAGGGGACAGGGACAAGACTGCAATGGAAAGTCCGCCCCTAACAGAACAACATCATGCACTAAAAACACCAACTTAACCTTCTGGAGAAAGCGGGGGATGTGGTGAGCTGACCAAGGGTCCAGCTGTTCTCACGGTGGTCAGAGCACACCTGGCAGAGCAGGCTCCATCAGGGGAAGGCAAGTACACCGGTGGGGTGTCCGGCGGGGCCGCAAGACTGAGGACAGTTTCCTGGTGCCGCTAGGAGGAAGAGGCAGCTCTGAGAAGGGGAAAGAAAAGATGTGCCAGTGAAGTATGTGCTGAGGGCCCTGGAATACGTGCAGAACCCTCAGGCAGAGAAAGGCAGCAAATCAAGGCAGCTGAGAGCCACAGGTATGAGTGTCACAGAGGCCAGCCTTCCAACCACAGAACCTTTGCTCCAGTGGGGCTTTCGCCCTGTAAAAGGAAGTGCTGGCTCCTTGGGGAGGTGGTAAGGGAACAAAACAGGCACCCTGAGGGGCCTGGGTGACTTAAAAATTGCCCCTAGAGCAATGTTTCTCAAACTTAAAGCGCACGTAACATGGGGGATTCTAATCAGGGGGATCTGGGCATCTGTTAAAATGCAGACCCTACTTTATTATTTATTAGGTCTAGGGTGGGGCCCGAGATTCTGCATTTCTGACGAGCTCCCAGGTGATGCTGGTGGTACTCCTCCAGGGACTACACTTTGGTGATTAGGCTCTCCACCACTTTCAAGGCAAAGAGAGCAAGTCTTGACCAGGGGTGGCCTAGAGAAGCTCTCTCTGTGGTCCAGGCTCCTAAAAGGGAAACCCTGGGGTCAGAGTGATCTACAAGCTATAGGAGCCCCAAAGAAAGTGATGGTGGCTTAGGAAGGAGGTGCCCTCCTGTAGAAACCACCAGCTTAACATGTGGGTTTCTCTCAGTAAAGAGTTTCCTGGGGGAAAGGAGATCAGGGAAAGCGTGGAGTCAAGCTCTAAGTGTTTGGGTCCCCAATACGACTGAGCAACTCAGAATGTGTTCTCAGGACCAGAAGCCAGACAATGACCTGCTGCAAACGTGTCTACAAATAATCAGCTCTGCCCCACCCACCCCTCCACAAAAGCTCTCTGGCCTTTCATTCTTCTAGGGAAAGGTGACTGCAGACTGGGAGACTCCCCAGCTGTGACTCATCCACATACTCAAATCTGACCCCTAAGCGCAGGATTCACGAGGCCCTGACTTTCCCCTCTGCCCAGCCCCAGACCACATTTCCATGCCTAACCTCTCACTCTAGACAACACCCCCCTCCACCTCCTGTCTCTCCCGTCTCTGGCTCGTCTTCAGGTGTGTCCCCAGCTTCACCGGACTCAACCCTTCCAGACGCAGCCGAGTTTCTCTGCCCCCAGCGCCTCGGCACTCTCACAGAATCTGAGTGGCCTCCCTTAAAAAGTATGCCTAGTATCAGTTTTACCGCGGATGCCCCGTCTCGGATGCTAAAGTCCTATAAGCGCCCCCTTCGTCTCCCCCTGCGGCGCCGAGAGCCGTGCAGGGCGCACAGGAAGTGCTCAGAAACTTAGCTCGAGGGCAGCAGCCGTGCCCGGACGGGGCGTCCGGCACGCAGGGACTCAGCCGGGCTGTGTGAGGATACCCCACCCCCGCCCCCAACGAAGAACAAGGATCACCAGGACGGGACCCCGGGACTCCGAGTTCAGGGCCGGGCAGCCCTCTGCGTTCTCCCGAGCCGTGGCCGAGGCTGACCAGGGCCAGCGCCCCTTCCTTCCGGAGCCGCTCCACGCGCCCCGAGCCACGCACCACCAACACAGCGCCCTCACCTTGTAAACCTTGCCGAAGGCACCATCGCCCAGCTCGCCCACGATCTCCCACACCTCGTTGGGGTCCAGGTCCCGGCGGACGTGCTCATATTCGCGGGACTTTCTCTTCTCGAAGGTAGACCGGCGCAGGATGCGGCGGAAATTGGCGAAAGCCATGGCTGAGGGCACGCGAGCCGGCGGGCGAGGTGGAGCCGGCTCGGGCTGTAGCTCCGGCGGCCGCGAGGGAGGGGCTGGAGGACGCCGCGGCGCTCTGGGGTTCTCCCCAGACCCGCCCTTCCCCGCAGTCAGACCCCGGTCAAGTGCGCCCTGGGCTGCGCGCGGCGGGAGCACCCGGAACCGCGCAGGCGGCCGCGGTCCCCGCCCCCGCTCGGTCCAATCTCCGGGCCGCCTCCCGATGTAGACCCAATTCGCGCCGCGCCCCAGCCCAGCCCGCAAGCCCCGGGACGCGTTCCGGGGACCCGGCCCCGCTCCCGCCCATCGGCCCGACTCCACCTGCCGCTCCCCGGCAGCGCCCGGAGACCCCCTAATTGGCTGCGGGCGCTCCCCGGCTCCGCCCGTCGCCGCAGGGCACTCTGGAAACTGTAGTCCCCCGCGCGCCGCACGCCCGCGAGCCACGGACTAGGCTTTGGCGAGCTTAGTGGACCCTTCGGCGGGACCATACCGGGTCTGGGAGGCCCACCGTGTCTCGTGGCTCCCAAAATTTCTGCGGGAGCGAAAGGGGAAGCAGATTGGTTAGTCGGGAGCGCCCACTGATTGCTGTCCAAAGACCAAAAAGGCGAACCGGCATTAATCATTGAATCCGCCCCGTAACGGCCCCGCGCGGCTGCTCTGCTCGCGCCCACTTTTCAGGTGGGGGCGCCCGGCGGGCGAGGGCACTAGCCCCGGGCTGCACATCCTGCGGGCGGATCCGGTGCGGATTGCTCGGCGTGGTGCTGCCTCCTAGCGCGGGAAATGCTGCGCCCTTGCGGCGGCGGTCAGTCCCTGAAAACCCAGGCTCCCCGGCTCGCTTCCTGCTTCCCAGGGGCTCTGCCCCACCGAGATCCACCAACCGGCCAGGATTACAGGGCTAAGAGAGAGCGCTCCGTGGGGACTTACTTATCACATGCTTCCTGATGGATCTTCAGATATATCTGCATATTAGGTAAAAAAACTTCCTTATTCTTAATTTTACAATTTTTAAAAATAAGCTCATTATACATAGAATTGAAGTTTTCTTTGACCACCATCATCCTCGATCCTGTCCGTTTTCCACCTGCTACTGTTGACTGTCTCTAGGACAGTTAACACTTGTATCTAAATCTAAGTAGGTTCCAAGCAGCGAGTGCTGAGGGGTGGGCAGGTGGGCAACCTGTAAAGCTTATTATGGTAACTCTCCCACATAAGCAAATTGAGTCTCGGGGAATGTCACACTCCAATAGACCACGTCCCTGCGGAGAAGGTCCATGTTGAGGTGTTTTCACCCCTTCCTGAGTCACATGCAAACACCAAGTATAGTTCTAAATTTGGAAAGCCAAATGCAGAAGCCTAGGGTACTGGTGGTGGTCTGCACAAAGGATGCCCTGAGTAAAGGTTGCCAAGCACTTTGAAATGTCCCCACGACCTAATGAGTGGTTGCAATCGTAGAGGGTCTTTATCACTAAAAGGAGGAAATGCAGCACAAGACTGGGCTCTCACCAAGTAAGCCCAAGTTTAAACCTCCCAGAACAAGCTGGAAGGCCGGTCTTTCATTAGTTTCAGTCCATTTGACCAACATTGTGAAGGGGGTGAGGGGACAATGGGGGAGGCTTTCCCACTGGGAGGTGGGGGCTCTGACCACAGGTCAGTCTAGAGGGGCTGGGACTGGGAGTCCCAGTCTCAGTTCATCCCCAAGCCGGGCCAAGCCACACACGACTCTGTGAGACTGGCTCTGCGATAGCTCCAGAAAAAATGAAATGAGAAACAAAAATGGAGCGCTTCACTCAAAAATGTTGTAAGTGAAAGAAGCCAGACACAAAAGAGCACACGTTATATGATTCCATTTGTATGCAATGTCTAGAAAAGGCAAATCCATAGGGACAGAAAGCAGATTAATGGTTGCCAAGGACTAGGCTGAAATGGACATGAGGAGTCTTATTGGGGTGATGAAAATGTTCTAAAACTGGATTATGGTGATGATATAATAACTTGGCAAGTTTACTAAAAATCACTAAATTGTATACTTGAAATGGCTGAATCTTATGATATGTAAATTATACTTAAGTACAGTTGTAAGAAATCAGAGAGGTTCAACAAAACCAAAGCTATATCTCTGAGATAACTAACAGACAAGGCTGGTCAAAAAGATAAAAAGAGTTGCAGAAAGAAAAATATTCCCTAAGACAATGAAAATGAAAAAAGTGACAGAATATTAGGTACAGTAGAGATTTTGATATCAGTATTTTAAACAATTTTATGTGAATACATTTTAATTTATGTGAAATGGGTAATCATGTAGAAGAAAATATAAATGATATAAACAAATGATATATAAATATATGAGATATGACATATAAAAGACACAATTTCAATAAGAAATAAGCCAAATTAAGCTAATAACCAATAAAGAAATGCATCAAAAATCTAAAGTCTGCCCCCACTGAAAGACATCAGGTTATGTGGTTTTACAAATAATCTCTCCCTTCATATAAATACTTTAAGAAGATAGAAAAAAGGAAGTATACTCATTTTTATGAGATGAGCTTTACTACAATTAGGTAGGAATAGTAAAAGAAAATTGTAGACTAATTTCACTTAGGAAATAGATGTGGGGCGGGGGGAAATACGAGCAAGACGAAACCAGAGGCTAATAAAAACATCATGACTGAGAAAGGTTTATCCGGAAATAAAAGAATGGTTCTATCTAGGAATAAAAACCATTAAAGTAAGACACTGGATTGACAAAGTAAGGAAGAAAATCACACACTCTTGATAGTCACAGAAAAAGCATTTGACTGTATTCTTAGGCTAGATTTCCCCAAAGATAAGAATCTGAATGCAAATAGTTTATTTGGGAGGTGATGCCAGGAGGCACCAGTAGGGAGTGGGAAGCTAAGAGAGGAGACACTTCAAGCCAGTAAAGGGTGTACTTTGTAGATGATTACTGCTGTGGCCAACTGGGGCTTAATCCCACTGGGGGATTCTGGGGATCAGGATGATGCAACACACTTCAGACTCAGCCTATCTGACAGTCAAGGACACTGGGGAATTTTCCTCTAAACCTCATCTGTCCTTGGCCAAGGGCTGCTCCCTAGGGCAGCACTTCTAGCCTGCCCTGCTAGAGGGCCAAGAGGACACCGCTAAGTTGAGAGATGTCACGGGTCTTTGTACAGCTTCTGCTGTAACGATCCTTACACTTCTTTTTTTTTTTTGTGGTACGTGGGCCTCTCACTGTTGCAGCCTCTCCCGTTGCGGAGCACAGGCTCCGGACGTGCAGGCTCAGTGGCCATGGCTCACGGGCCCAGCCGCTCCGTGGCATGTGGGATCATCCCGGATCGGGGCACGAACCCATGTCCCCTGCATCGGCAGGCGGACTCTCAACCACTGTGCTACCAGGGAAGCCCCTTTACACTTCTTGTTTCTTCTACTTTCCTATAGCATTTGCTAGAATCTTTAGCTTTATGTTAAACAGTAACCGTGAAAATAGGAATTCTTGTCTTGGTCCAATATTTGATGGAAAAGGGTTTAAAGTTTCTCCTTTAAGTATGATGTTTACCAAAGATTGTGACAAAAGACCTTCACACAAAGTTCCTTGCTATACCTAATTTGCTAATGTTTTTCTCATAGCTGTAGAACTTTATCAAATGTTTCTTCTGCATTTATCATGAGTTTTCTCATCTAGCCTATAGACATGGTAAATTTCATTTATTGAAACATTCTTGCATTCCTGGAAAGCAGATACTTTATCTTCCTCTAGAGAGGCTAAGTAACGTTTCCAAGGTATGCTTCTTCATAAGTCAGTCCCCATTCACATGCCTCACCCCAGGCAACCACTAATCTGTTTTCTGTCACCATATATTGGAAATATCTTGCCTAGTTAACCATATAAATGGAATCATACAGTAGTGCTCTTTTAAGCCTGGCTTCTTTTCACTCAGCATATTTTTGAGATTCATCATGTTGTTGTAGGTATTTGTGGTTCGTTCTTTCTAATTGCTGAGTAGTGTATGGATATACCACAATTTGTTTATCCATTTAGCTGCTGATGGACATTTGAGTTGCCAGTCTTGTTATCATGAATAAAGCTACTACGAACATTTGTTTACAAGGCTTTGTATGGATATATATTTTCATTTTCCTAGAGGCACCTAGGAGTGCAATTGCCGGATCATACGCTAAGTATATGGTTAACTTTTTAAGAGGCTGTCCAAGTATTTTACAAAGTGGTTCTATCACTTTACGTTCCCACAAGTGATGTTGCTCCAATCACACTGATATCATCAGTTTTTAAAAACTCTAGCCATTCCAGTGACTACTAGTGGTATCTTACTCTAGGCTTTTGCCCTCAAGACATCTGCCAAATCCTAAACTGCAGAGCTTAGGGAAAGAGGTCACGAGACCAAACAGAAAGCCAACAGGCTCATAGATCAGAAAAGCTAAGCAGAGCCTAGATTGTGGTCTCCAAATACAATTTTCCATAAAATGATACTATGGCTCCTTGGAGAAGTCCTTCTAGATCTAAGACAGGAAATGTCTATCCTTACATCAACATCTGTGCCTCTGTCTTGAAACAAAATACAGATGGCAAATATGCACATGTAAACATGCTCAACTTCATTAGTCATCGGGGAAATGCAGATAAAAACCACTGTATCCATTTGAACAGGCTGTTACGCTGCAATAAAACCCTCAAAGTCTTGGTAGCTTAACACAACAAAGATGGTTTCTTACTGTATAGAAAGCTACAAAGAATGTAGCATCTATCTTAGTGAGAAAAAAAGATGGATGATCTACAAAACTGTAACTTTTCTTGAGCATATCAAAGAACTGAGGTCACAAGGCAACCAAGGAAAGTGAATTCTCACAAAGAACAAGCCCCTGCAAGGAGAGAGAGGGCACACCAACCACTGGACCTTTGGCAGAACATGGCTGAAAACGGCAGCCACCGTACAAGTGGTGAAGAAAACTTTAACCAAAGTTTGAGCAGAGCATTAGAGGCAAAGTTTGGGATACCACGTCAGTGTGGAATAGCTGGAGTTCCCAGACACAAGGGGCAATCACGCACACTGGCAAACTCCTTCCCATGGGTCGCCAATGGGAGCCTGTGAGGAAAAACTGGGGGCAGGGCAGCAGACTGGAGACTGCCAGTTCTTGCTGATGCAGGAGTGAAGGAGGTGGTTGGAGCCTGCCAGGGGATGAGTATAAGGTCTCATCTACTTCCTCAGAAGTAGCAAAAGCAAAATTCTTCAAAGCAATAGCTTTCTGCTGCTGGGAGAGAGGAACCCCTCACTCTCAAGGCCCAGATAAAATCCACGGTGCTCACCCCCAGGACATGGGAAGATCCTCTGTCTTTTTCGTGTAGTCACTGAGGAACTCAAGACTGATAGGGAACCATCATCTATTTTTTAAATTTATTTTTTATTGGTGTGACGTTGGTTTATAACATTAAATAAGTTTCACGTGTACAACATTATATTTCTACTCTGTGTACACCATGGCACCCTCAGAGCACCGTCATCTTGAATGTTACTGCTACTATGGCATTGGAAAAGAGAGTTCTGACATTTTGGGAATTGTTACTGTAGGTAGCAGTACTCACCCTAATACGCTGGGAAAATGCAGTTAAATAATTACACCATTTTTTCTCCCTTCCCCTAGCAGCAATAGATCTTTCCCTACGTAGCTCCTGGTGAGTTCTGAGGGCACCACAGCTGGCCTCTTCATGTGACGTTATTTTTAGTGTTTTATACAGTCAAGATTCATTTAGATTTACTCACATATTTTCAATTTCTGGTACTCTTCATCCCTTCCTGAATTTCTGTGTTTCCATATGGAATTATTTTTCTGTGCCTTCTGAAGAATTCACTTATGGCTGTTAATTTTCTGTTTTTGGGTGTATGGATTTATTTTGTTAGCTCCCTCCTTCTGTCATAATTGTATTGCATTTAAATTTTATCATTTTAAACTCCCTATGACATTATTTTACCCCATGGTTGTTTACTTGCACTGACCCACGTATTTTTACTACTTTGTTCCTCTCTATTCCTTCTGATATCTTGGATTTTCTCTCTGTGATCATTCTCTGACTACCGTAAGTTGATCCTTTAGAATTTCTTTTGGGAGGGTCCGTTGGTGATCATTCTTAGTTGTTTGGTTGGTTGTTTGTTTGTTTTTGCCTGAATACAGCTTTATCTCATCCTAATTTTTTTTTCACTATAGAAAATTTCAAACATATTCAAAGTAGAAAGAATAGTATAAGCTAGTACTCCTGTACACCCATCAGTCAGTTCATGTTTGAACAATCCTGTTATATGTATACCAGCACCCACGGGCCTGGATTATTTTGAAGCAAATTCCAGGCATCTTACCATTTTATCTTTTTAAACCACCACCACATCCACTGTCATTCCTAATATTACATTCAATCAGTGTTCATAGTTCTCCATCATCTCATGCTTTTGTTGTTTGTTTCTGTGGGTTTTTACGTATACCATCTATATGAATTAGGATCCTCATAAGTCCATACACTGTAATTGGTTGATGTGATTTGAAAGAAATTTAACTATTAATCTATAGATCCCTCTTCCATCTCTTTTTCTTTTCTTGTAAATGTTTATTGAAGAAGTGGAGTCATTTTCTTTTAGAGCTTTCCACAGTCTGGGTTTTGTTGATTGTGTCCCCGTAGTGTCATTTAACATGGACCTCTGCTGTCCTATTTCCCTGATTTATATTTTCTATAAATTGATCAAATTCAGGTTTGATTTTCCTCCTCATTCTTTTAAATGAAGGTGGAACTCACATAATATAAAATTACCTATTTTAAAGTGTACAATTCAGTGGCATTTAGTACATCGACAGTGTTGTTCAGCCATCACCTCTGTCCAGTTTGAAACATTTTCATCACCCCAGTGGGAATCTTTGTATCCAGTAAGCAGTCACTTCCCATCACCCACTCCCCCAGCCCACAGCCCCTGGCAACGACTGATCTGCTTTCAGTCTCCATGGCTTTGCCTCTTCTGGATATTTAATGTAAATGGAATCATACAATAGGTGACCTTCTGTGCCTGGCTTCTTTCACTTACTATAAGGTTCATCTACATTGTAACATGTATCATTCTCTTTCATGGCTAAGTATTTCACTGTATGGATGTGCTACCATTTCATTTGTCCATTCATCAGTTGATGGACATTTGGGCTGTTTCCACCTTTTGCCTATTGTGAATAGTGCTGCTATAAACATTTTGTACAAGTATCTGAACACTTGTTTTCATTTCTTTTGGATATATATCTAGGAGTGGAAATGCTAGGTTATATGGTAATCTCATGTTTAACTTTAAGGAACCTCCCTTCAGTCTTGAAAGACGATTTTACTGAGTGTATAATTTTAGCTTGGCTATGATTGTTTTTACACATTGAAATAGTATTACATTATGTTTTGGTTTCCATGTTGTGAAGAAGTTGATTGTTAAGTTTAATCATTAGTCCTTTGAAGATAATCTTTCTTCTCTGATTGCCTTTAAAATCTTTGTCTTTGGTATAATGCAGTTTCACTCTGACGTGTACATATATGTATTTCTTCTTATCTCAACTACTTAGGACTTCAGTCTTTTGAGAGGGAATATAGCATAGCTATTAAAAAGCAGTGATTATTGCCAGACTAGGTTCACATGCTGACTTCACTACTAATTAGCTTAGTGACTTTAGGAAAATTACTTAACTTTTCTGAGCCTTTTTAAAAAACTTTTTATTGATACAGTTCATGTACAATATTATACAAGTTACAGGCGTACAGCATAGTGGTTCACAATTTTTAAAGGTTATAATCTATTTATAGTCATTATAAAATACCGGCTAGGGAATTCCCTGGCGGTCCCGTGGTGAGGACTTTGCGCTTTCACTGCCAACGGTGCGGGTTCAATCCCTGGTCCAGGAACTAAGATCCCTCGAGCAATGGGGCATGGCCAAAAAACATATATATATTGGCTATATTTGCTGTACCATATATCCTTGTTGTTTATTTATTTTATGCGTAATAGACTGTAACCTGAGCCTGTTTCTTAATCTGTACAATAGGTATAATAATCTCTGCCTCACAGGACTGTATGATTAGTCTTTGGACTAAATGAGCTACTACAGTAGTACAACAGTGTAACATGTTACTATGTAACAGGTAGTTATGTAACTGTTCACCTTGATAATGATGATGAGCACAGTCTGTGGGCGGGTGTCTTTCATGGGTTTTGGAAAATTCTCAACCATTTTTTTTTTGGCTGCTCCGAGTGGCTTGTGGGATCTTATTTCCCCAACCAGGGCTTGAACCCGGGCCACGGCAGTGAAAGCACTGAGTCCTAACCACTGGACCACCAGGGAATTCCCACAATTTTAATTTTTTTATTGACTGTTTCCTATGATGCTTTGACGTAGGAAGACCTTTATTACCAGAGCTTCTCTCTATCCAACATTCTAATTCTGAGGCAGGATTCTCTCTTCTACTTCAGGTTGCCAGAGTCTTCGGCTTAAAGGGCACCATAATGAAACTGAAGCAAGGATCGTTTCTGTGGTACCTCTATCTGGATAAACTATATTGCTTATTATCCGTGAGAAATGTGAAGGCTTTGGTGGAGTATTTTCACCTTCTTGATGTGCACCGCAAGAAAACCTTGAATGGTTAGTACTTTCAGAAATGCTTCCTCTGGGTCATTACCTGGTTTTTAACGAACGTGCAGGAAAATTTACAGAACCAGAAACTATTTCATTAATGTATATATTATATCTTCTAAATGAAGCACAGAGAAAAACTGCCAACTGGGACTTGAAGGCTGTTCTGTGAGGAGGATAAAATTGCAGGCTCTGGGGTTAGGTCCTCCACCCATTATTCCTTGGTGATTTGGAGAACAACATCATCCTCTTTTAAGTCTCATTTTCCTCATCTGTAAGTGAGGCTTCTAATAATGGAGTCCATCTCACAGTTGAAAAAAAAAAAGATAAATGAGATAATGCATGGAAAATCCTTAGCATGGTGCCTGGCACACTGTAAGGATTTAATAAATGTTCCTTATTATTACAACTATTCCTGGGGACTGAGCCCCACTCAGGCATTAACCCTCAAGACTCCCTTAGCAAGACTTCTCGTCTATCGAATGGGAGGTTTGAATCAGGTGATCTGCAAGATCGCTTCTAATTCTTGGTAATTGTGAGTGACCAGAAAATGCTGATGATCTCGACCCTGCCTCTGAGTGCACAAACTAATAGAAGACCAATTAAAACACTTTAGGTTTTCTTTAAAAAATATTTATTTATTTATATATATTTTTGGCTGCATCGGGTCTTAGTTGTGGCAGGCGGGCACTTTCATTGCGGTGCGCAGGCTCTTCATTGCCGCATGTGGGCTTCTCTCTAGTTGTGGCGCGCAGGCTCAGTAGTTGTGGCGCACAGGCTTAGTTGCCCCACAGCATGTGGGATCTTAGTTCCCAGACCAGGGATCGAACCCGTGTCCCATGCATTGGAAGGCGGATTCTTAACCACTGGACCACCAGGGAAGTCCCCTAGGTTTTTTTTGTTTGTCTGTTTTGTTTTCAGGACTGGGTATAAATAAGGTGTCCGACTCATTGTGACCTGAGAGAGATGTCATTTATCAATAAGGAGTTTCTTCCATAAAGATATTTTAAAGAGTTCATTCAATCTTTATAAAATAATAAAAAGATACTTTAATTTTCTCATACTTTCATGCCTCCAGTTTACACACAGTATGTCACCAGATCTTCACAATAACCCAGTCCTAGATAAAGCAACTGTAGGACGCCTAGATGTAAACAGAAGATCTGGGACCAAAACCCAAAGCCCACACTCTTAGTCTCACCAGCGTTTGCTGAGCAGAGTCTGATCTCCCTGGTAACTAAATCACTCCCTGGTGATGCGATACCCAAGAGATAAAGTCATACTTGTGTCTTCTGGTCACCAAGGGACTGGATGGTGACCTGAAAGGGAGAAGGCATAGCCTTGAGTTTTGCCTTCCAGGGAGATAGTGACTTAAAGCCTTGGAGACTTGAGTGGGCCAGAGCCAGCCGATTGAAAAACAGTATTTGTTTAGTAACTACTAAGTCTCACAATAAAACATTTCTCAAGGAGCAAACATCATGGTGTTTACACATGGTGTGTTGTTCCCAAGTGCTCGTACCTGGTTGGACTCATACCTGGTGGGACGTGGGGAAGGAACATCAAGAGGCCATCAGAAACCCCCAGATCATGACATTGTGACGACTGGTTTCACTGTGCACTTAGCCAGCTTCAGCCAGGACTCCAAACCACACAGATGTGCTTTACGGATTTAGTGGAGCCATGTCTTGTGCAGGAGGTAGTCTCTGTAATCAATGGGCAAGGAGAAATCACATGTAGACAAAGTTACACTTGAAAATCCCTGAAATCCCCTGGGTGATTTGTACATACAACCTGTACAGCCATGTGTCGCTGTGTAAACGTATCACCATGTTTGTTTCTTCCATCTAACGCTCCCTGAGATAGATGATTAGTGAGTGGAATTTCAGGCAAATACTTTCCCTGTCCTTTATTTTTTTCTCTGATTGTATATGACTGTATGTGCATTAACTAATGTGCAAAAGATATGGCTTCACTGTGGCAAGAGCAAGGCTGTGGAGTCAGACGGACCACATCTGAATCCCAGCTCTGCCACTCAAAGTGTGGTCCACTGACCAGCAGCTGCCGCATCGCTTGGGAGCTTAAGAATGCAGACTCAGTCCCATGCCAGAGTTCCTAATCAGAACTGGTGCTTTTACAAGATCCTCAAGTGATTGGTATGCCTATTATAGCTCAAGAAGCCCTGAGATTAGTTACTACCTGAGGCTTATTGTAAAAGGCTGTGTAGGGTTGTCAGGGTTCAGTGACATGTGGCACTTAGAGTGCCCAGCGTCTAAGATGCTCAGTGATAGCTCTTTTCCCCCATCACCGAATGCATTTGCTTTATGTAAAGCATGAGGAAAAGTGATACTTTTACAGAAGAGGAATGATTTTAAAAATTTCTCGTTTTAATTCTCTCAAGTGAAAGGCCCAGGTGAAATGTCAGCTTTTCCAAGAATGTGTCATAGGCCCCCAGTGAGAATTAAACTCTTCCTTCTATGTACCAGGAGCACTTTGAGACTTTTATTGGTTATGTATACACATCTGTCTGCTCCGTCGAGCGTGTAAGCTGGGCTCAGGAACCAAGCCCTATCCACTATCTCCTTCTCCACAAGTCCAGGTACAGTGCTTTTCCACACAGCTCAAGGGCAACTGAGGTTTGAGAAATTGTGGGAGGTATAGTGGCAAAGCTGGAAACAAAATATTATCATTACTATGGCCAGGTCAACAAGCTTCCAACATGACAACCATTTATGTGGTTCCCAGATGTTTAACATTTTGGAACCGTTTCAGAATAATCCATCTCATCTCCTTACCAACAGATGTGCTATTCTACCACTTCCTTCATCACGTGACTGACCTGAAACGGAACCAGATCACAATTGTGTTTAACATGCTGGACTGGAATGCTGTGGGCGAGATTGGTTTTGACCAGTTCTACATGTTGGTTTGCATACTGCTGGCACAGGAGGCAAGTAACGAGTCAGGCTCTGTGGAGCAGAGGGGGCACAGCTTGGCTGCTGCCACCATTTTGCTAAAGGTAGCGCCGAATTAAGAGTGCATCAGAATTTTTCTTTTCACTTGAACCAGGAAGAAACAAAATGGTGGGAGAACTACTTTTGGTACCTAAATGGCCCACCTATAACCTAGGAGTTTCCAAAGGTTATCCAGCCTCCCTCCCACATTGCCTTTATAAAGAACAAATCTCATCCTGTCACATCCCTCCTTGGCATGCCCTTCCTTGCCCCTTCTAGCTGGTGGGTCTTAAAATCATCACCAGTAATCCTAATTGCCTCTCTTCCTCAGTGATCCCTTTTCTCAGAGAACTTTCTGAAGGGGATGAATGATAAAGACAAGACACACTCTTCTTCGGGTTCCCACCTTACCTGGTACACACTCCTAGTGTGTATTTACCTCTTTCCCACTCCTTGAGGAAAGGCACCTTGTGTCAGCATTTTACTGCCAGTGCCACAATTTTCATAAGTAGATTTTCACTGAACATAAGGAAATACATTCTAGTGACTAGAGTTCTGTCTAGCAGAACCAATCACTACAGGTGGCATAAGTCCCCCCTGAATGTAGATGATGCAGCAGGATCTGGTACATCGACCATAGAACCCTTTCAGCCCTGAGCTGCTATGATTCTGCCTTTTGCTTTTAGCTCTCTAGGAAATGGATTAGTGAATATATGAGTCTTGATGTCACAAGTTTAGAAAGCAGCACCAACAACATGTTTCTGTATTTCTCTCAAAGCAGAACCATTTGGAAGAGCAATTTATTTTCCGCCATTCCCGGCCTATTTTTGAGCTGCTTGACCTGGATGGGGAGCTGAAAATTGGCCCATCCAACTTCCACATGTACAACTTTCTCTTCAAAATTAAAAAACAGCAACTCAGAGACCTGTACCATGACTTTGACATCACAGGTGACTGTGTAAGTGCAGATCCCTAAAGTGTGGCCCGGCAGCCCCTCTGTACAAAGGTAGAGGACCATGTCCTGCTACCTACACTGGAGACGGGGGAGGAAGAGGGTGGGAAAAACCTACTGGAGCGTGTCATGGCTCTGGGATCATAAAAAACTAAAGAGATATATAGGCCTGTGAGAGAGGACTGAATAACTAAGTGCTATGTCACAGAATGTGGATATAAAATTATAGAAGTTTGGAGAAGGAAATTTTGTTTAGAAGTTCAGTTGAAAGAAGGAAATATATCAATATGGCAGCAGTTGGTCTTAGGGGAAGGGTTTATAGATTTTAATAAGCAGAAAGGAAGAAATTCTTAGATGGGAACACATGAGCTAAATCCCCAGAGAAAACAACTGTGGAGAAGACAGTGGATCCTGCGTATTTAAAGAGGAAGTCCATGTTGACTAACAAGTGAGAGCTAAGGTTTACGGTTTAAAAAGATGGATTATACTCTGAAGAAGCTCAGATGGCAGCCTGACAGAGTCTGGACTTGATGTAGCAGAAGTAAGAAAGTGACCCTTGGTGCCTTTAGAGTCTACAATAGACTCTCTGTTCCTGGCTCCTAGACTACAATTAGACTACAATTATGTCCTAATTACTGGGCCTCTTTAATAAAGTTTCCAAGGTTTTAAATGAGAAATGATTACAATCCTGCTGTCATCTGAAACAAAGTATCAAAGCCTTCCTGAAATAACTTTTCTTTTTGCCCCCCAACACAAGCGTCTTAATTACAAGGAATTTAAGCTGTTTACTATCTTCTCCATGAACAAATACCAGGAGAGTCAGAAAGCAGTGAAAGAGGAGAAAGCTGTGCCCGAAAAGAAAGTGTCACAAGTTAATGTGAGCCAAAGACAGAGTCTTCTTGGAATAAATCATTTTGAAAGTATAAGTAATTACAATTGTTAACATCTCTAAAAATAAATTTAGAACATCAAAGTAGATATCTTTAAATTGATTTTTACACATGCGGGGTTCAGATAAGCACTCCTCAATCAGCATATCCTTAACTTTAATAACCTTTAGACCTCACAAATGACTCACAGTTATGTAAGTGAAGTAAAAACTTTCTCTTTGTTGACATGTCCCAACTCTGCTGCTGCTTTTCAGATCAACTCTGTCCATTAGGTTCCTGTGTATCCAAATAATTACCAACTCTTACTGGAGCCAAGCAGTCGGAAGGTGGTGCTTTCCTAACATTCGTCACTAGTGGTCCAATACTTTCAGAATTCTAATTCTCCCACTCCTTAGGCTAAAACAAACTTCAAATTGGCAAATGGCGAAATGCCTCCAACCGTAAGGGAAACTGACTTTTAAGGATATGGGGACTGTGTTCTTCCTAGAATTTAAATTACTCTTTGATGAGTTAAGTGCTTAAGCAACTATACCAAATCTACTAGGGTAAAATAATTATTACATGCCCTTGTATAATTCTATTTTTTTGTATAATTAATGCTTTGAATAATTTTTAAGTGTCTTTAGCATGGGATTTGTGAATCCTCCTTGACTACTGTGATGTTAATGATGATAACGACCACTAAGTAAGTACTTGCAACGGGTCACGCAGGGGCTTTAGACGCATGAATTTATCCCCTAACCCTGCGAATGAATTTATCCTCTAACCCTGCGAATTAAGTGTTATCCTCAATTTACAGATGAGGAAATTGAGGTGTCAAGATTAAGAACCTCGGGCTTCCCTGGTGGCGCAGTGGTTGAGAGTCCGCCTGCCGATGCAGGGGACACGGGTTCGTGCCCCGGTTCGGGAAGATCCCACATGCTGCTGAGCGGCTGGGCCCGTAAGCCATAGCCGCTGAGCCTGCGCGTCCGGAGCCTGTGCTCTGCAATGGGAGAGGCCACAACAGTGAGAGGCCCGCGTACCGCAAAAAAAAAAAAAGATTAAGAACCTTACCCAAGGTTCTTAATGACTCACTAGTGGCAGGACCAGAGTTCAAATTCAAGGTCAATTAGACGCTTGTACTGAGAACAAGTGATTTGAGTAACTCACTTCAGTCTTAGCAGATTCTGTTTAAGTTTTAAGCTGGCATTTCACTGGCTCAGAAACCCCTTCTACCTAATGCTAATTACCACATCTCCTTCTACCATAGATTTCTGAGGGACATGTTTGGTGATTAAAGAAATACAGCTCATTTACTATAAACCAAGAATTTCTTAAGGAAATAATATATGCAATATAACTGACCGTAAGGCATTCAGTGAGTTCCAGAGTACTTAATAATCAAAAATCACTTTGTCAATGTGCAACAGACAAGAATACTGCCTAAGACTGTCATTCATAAGTCACACGTAATAACTGAAATCATGTTAATTACTATGAACATTCTCTATATTTACTCTAATAGTCATGAGATTTCGATAACACACTTATGAGTAACGCTTAGCAGCCAAAACTTTTGTCTTCCCCACAACGGTACTACAAAAACTAAATGGAGCTAGCGGGAATCCTCTGGCAGTCCAGCGGTTAGGACTCCATGCTTTTGCTGCTGAGGCCATGGGTTCAATCCCTGATCGGGGAACTAAGATCCCATAACACAAAGTAAAACCACATGACACAGGTTTCCACCTAGACTGTCAAAGATCAGTAAGTTGGTCAGGGACTTCCCTGGTGACGCAGTGGTTAAGAGTCCGCCTGCCAATGCAGGGGGCAGGGGTTCGAGCCCTGGTCGAGGAGGATCCCACATGCCGCAGAGCAACTAAGCCCACGTGCCAGAACTACTGAGCCTGCGCTCTGGAGCCCGCGAGCCACAACTACTGAGCCTGAGTGCCACAACAGCTGGGCCTGCACACCTAGAGCTGGTGCTCCACAACAAGAGAAGCCACCGCAATGAGAAGCCTGCACACCGCCACTAAGAGTAGCCCCCGCTCACCACAACTAGAGAAAGCCGGTGCGCAGCAACAAAGACCCAATGCAGCCAAAAATAAATAAATAAATAAATTTATGGAGAAAAAAAAAGTTGGTCAAAATATAGGAAAATAAGAGCAGTCATATTGCTATAGTATTAAATTGGTTAAAATCTATTTGGAGGGCAATTCAGCATCTACTCCCTAAATGTATATACTGTTTGATATAGCAATGTACATAGACGTAAAGATGTAGCTATACAAAAGGACATTTCACAGTAGCATGGTTTATAGTACCAAAAGACTAGAAACAGCCAGACTGACCTGTGGTACTCCAGACAATGGAATACTACTGCACCTGTAAGAGGAATGAAGCAGATCTAGCTCAACATATATGGAACAATCTCTAAGACTAACCATTTTAGAGAAAAATCAAATGTACAGAATAGCATATGTTATTTATGGAAAAAACAGGGTAGGGCGGGTAAATATACTCACATACACTAAAATAGTGGTTCTCACATTGGGATCCCCAGACTAGTAGCAGCAGCATCACCTGAGAACTTTTAGAAATGCAAATTATTAGACCCCACTCAGACCTACTAACTCTGAACCTCTGGGGGAAGAGCACAGCAATCTGTGTTTTAATAAGCCTTCCAGGTAATTCTGATGCATGCTGAAGTTTGAGAACCACTGTGGCAGAGCATCTTTAAAGATATCCAGAAAACTGGGAACAGCTGTTACCTCTGGGGAGAAGAAATGGGATAGGAAGAACAGGCATCTTCAGAGAGACTCTTCACTTCGGTATGTTTGGATTTTTTTTCCCATGTGTATGTATCACTTATTTTAAATAAAAATTAACAATCAAAGCCTACCACTTTGATCCAAAATGGATAAAGAAATGAGCTCAGTGCTTCTGAAAAACTGAATTATGGGTTTTGGTTTACAGCATGATTCTTAAAAGAAAAAAACAACAACCTATTTGAGACCAAGATTTCAATGCAGCAAATAAAGTATATCTATAAATGACCATGTATGGTTTGACACAGTAGAGCCTAAGTTTGGTAGTAATGAACTTGTTAGTTACTGAGCTGGGAGGTTTTAAAAAGGAGAAAAACCTTTTTAGAGGTTTTTTTTTTTTTTATCAGAATGAAGCAGATTACCCTTATTGTGGAGAGTAATAATAATTAAAAACCCAGAATAAAGGCAAAGACAAAGAGAAAAATTGAACTTTTTTTTAAAAAAAGCACAAAAACCCTACATACTAAAATTGTACACATCAAGTATTGGTCCAATCTTATATCAATCTATTTACAATTAAACAGCACCATGGTTTTCTCACCTAGGTTAGTTAAATGCCCAGAAAATTGTTAATTCAAAGTACACGTTCCTTTAAAATAAAATAAACTATTAAGAGAGCTCCAATCCTCAACAAAAAAAACTACCAACTATAGATTATTATATCACCAAATTTACTTAAGAAAAATAGATTTGAACACTTTTTTTGTCCTCCAGTTGACAAACTTTGAGAGATGTTGCTGTTCAATGTGACACACAAATTAATAAGGAAACATTTTGATGACAGGGGCATTATATTGAAATACCCTCGCATATCTCCACCTCCATATATAAAAATACTCCTTTGGAATTAATGCTGCTGTTGCCTCTTAAATTTAGATTCAATTATCAGTAAACCTAAATTAAATGTAGCCACAATCTTTAAAATGATTGCATGAAAAAGAGAAGCAGTTAAAGCTCTCAGAAACATGATATGTTACAATTATAGATATTATGTGCAATCAGGCTATAGGAAATTTAATAGTATTTTAAACATTACATTTAAACTAGTTTCATTTTGCCATTAAAATTAATAATGGTGCTTCACATCCAAAATACATGTGAAGGTTTGATTATTTCTCATTTGAGAACAAGGTAAGTGCCTTCTTGCCTCTACTTTTCCATCTCATGGATTCTCAGCGGTTCAGAAATCACTTGGTAGCCCCCTTCTCACTTATGGGACCAACCTTGAAAAGGCTCCAAATTAAATATAATCCTTGGCAGCTTTGTTCCAGTCCTAGTACAGAAGAGTCAGGTTATCTCACCAAATTTTTCAGTCCTCTAATATAATCTGCAGATGCTTCTTAATTTGCCTCTTTGCTAGGAAAGATGAGAGAGGAAAATTCTCATCCACCACAACTACAGGTAACAGTGAACTATGGAAAGCACTAAAGTATAAAGCAGCGTATCAACATTTGGTCTCACTGTCGATGTTTAAGTGATGTCAGTAAATATTTCACTCTAGCAAATTATGAGTTGAAATTTTTTCTCAAAGATTGAAGACAGGCACAATTCTCCCAGGCACAGACAGAATGGGTTTTCCTTATACCCTTCCTGCAAATTGGGGGAGAAGAGATAATTACTTTATTATCCTACAGTAGGAACAGCTGTACTTGATTCCATGCATTCCCTGGGATTCCCCTGAATCCCTGGAATGATTCAAGTACATTCCCAGCTGTACTTGATTCCATGCATATCCATGCATTTGGGGGCACAGTCAGCTCTGAAAAGTTCTAAGCAGAGTAGGTAGATCAATGAAGGTTTTACATAGTAGTGTCCTTCTAAGGCTGGATATGAAACAGCTTCATTATACAGACATTTCAAAATACCTATGCAGCAAGAGGACAATAGACTTTTCAACTAAGTTATCAGTTGAAAGTCAGAGATCTGAATGCACTGACTAAATTATTGCCTAGTGTTCCAGAAAGGTGCCTGCCACCAACGTGCTGGAAGGCACCAAAATTTAGTGTGAATGTAAACAAGGAGCTCAACATATGGGGATGGGGAAAGCAATATTGAAACACAATTTGCCAGTCTATATTCCTTTATGGCTAAATATCAATTGAGCAAGGAATTAAGACCAGAAAAGAAGAGAACCTCAAGTACTGCTCTTTTCAGTTTCCGTTTTAAAAAGCTCAAGTTTTATAACTGTTATTGATGATTTCTGGAAATTGTATTTATTTTTTAAGAATTCTATATTCACAGGTGCTTGGTGCTGTTCTGCATGGATGCAATGTTCTATTTACAGTCCAAATCATTTAAATACAGCCATTATATAGTTGTTGGGTATTTTAAAATAAATGGTTATCTATTTCTTAACTGCCTCTTGAATTAGAAACTGTAATTACATGAGTCTCAAAGGCTGGCTCTTTGTGTTTTATTAATTATTTTCGTTGGTCTCCATCACAGATGGAAGTTTTCACTGGTAATTCCTCAGAACTAAATCCATTCATAAGGAATTCAGAGCAGTGAAAATAAATTTCACGCCATAGAGTAGGAAATGATAACAACAACAATAAAAAGGAGCAGGAGGGATCTAGGGACAGCCAGCAGGACCAGTTCAGTTCTCAACTGGTGTTGGGTTTTGCAAAGGTTGGCTCATTATAACCTGTACAACATAGTCCTTTGGGATCTTCAGCTCTTCCAACTTCATTTTGTCGGTGAGAGGTCTGCCAGAAAAGAACCACCGCTGACTAGCCGGTTCCACTCCTTCTGCTGCATGTAGCCGCCTCTTCATGTGGTACACTGTGTCTGTGCTGCGGACCACAAGTTTGAGGTCCTTGCCGGTGGAAAGGCGCAAACGGAGCTGAGATTCATACCCCGAATTGGGTGGTGGCTCAGGAATATCCAGAGTCTCTATGTCGCTCTTTTCCTCTATCATGTTGATTGGTGGTGCCAAGCAGTAGACTGGAAGCTGATACCTGTTCCCCAGTTCATCATAGCACTCTGTAAGTGCACCTTAAGAAAGAGAAGATATGAAAAAGAGTTTAATCTAAATGAATGCATTTTTCTTTACATCTTGCAAAATGCTCAAACATCTCATTGGCGTGGCACTGTAGAGAAAAAAATGTAAAATAAGGCCAATCTCTGTCAGTGATCATCAATAATCATTATCAAGACCCATGACCAGGGCTTCCCTGGTGGCGCAGTGGTTGAGAGTCCGCCTCCCGATGCAGGGGACGTGGGTTCGTGCCCCGGTCCGGGAAGATCCCATATGCCGCGGAGCGGCTGGGCCCGTGAGCCATGGCCGCTGAGCCTGCGTGTCCGGAGCCTGTGCTCCGCAACAGGAGAGGCCCACGTACCGAAAAAAAAAAAAGTAAAAGAAAGCACACAAAATTTCAATTTACTAATATTATCAATGCTTAGACCAAATTAATGGGAGATGCCAATTACATTGGGATATCTTTTTAGGAAATGAATCAGCTAACCTTAAAAAAAAAAAAGGCAAAAACCCCAGATCCCTAAGCTCAATTCTCCACAACACAGTGTTCCAGAGTGGTTCTCTTAGTGCCTAGACTTCCTAAGTTGAAGTACTTGGCCAGAAGTCCTCAGTCCAAAGAGATCACAAACCAGAGATGACAAGCTTACCAGCTGCCATTGTCTCATGGCTTATGTATGGATCTCATTAGCACAACTACCACAGAAATGACTGAGGTGTTTTATTTAACCCAAATTAGTCAATCTGTTACAGAGAAGCTTTGAGTTAAAAAGGAAGAACAAAAGAGGCATGAGGTTTATAACTGGCTAGCTCAGGGGAGGGGGAAAAAAGTGTTTATGGTTTAAAAGAAGGTATTCATGGTTAATTTCTTTATAAAGTATAAACCATTGTAATTACCAGAGCTTCCCTTGGGGAACTTGAAAGCATACTTAATGAATGTTTTATTTTAAGGTTATTCATAATGTGTCTTTTGCTCAAACTGGAACATTTAATGTCAGCTGATTATCAATTTGGACAAAAACCAAAAATATCTACCATATTCAGAACACTCATACACAGGCTAACGAATATGGGGCGTGGACACTGAGAAATGGTTACCAATGAACAAATGACTTAATAAACTGATCTCCATCAATAGGCTGAAAATCCAAAGCATCCCAAATGAGACTGGAACAGTCACCAATCCACCAAGGGTTGAACTGGGCCTGCTTTCTAAGTTACATAAGATGGGCTGGGGTGAGAACTCAGGCACCAAGCATTAATACACGCGAATCTCCCCTTTCCTCTGTATTTAAAAATAATGTTCAGCCTCTGTGTTATTCACTAATCTGAACACTGCTATGACTGTAGAAATAGATATGCTTCAAGCCCAGTTGTGATCACCAGCAATTCCCTACACTAGTACCCATCACACTGCAGTATAAATATTATTTATAAATAGTCAGTTGTGCAAACTTCACTGTTTATATACTTGATATAGCCTTGTCCTAAGGCAAAGAAACCTCAGTGCCTTTCAGGTGGGCTGACCATTAGGAAAACTAGCAAAGAGAAGGTGGAGAGTTCACTACAGACTCATCATCTCTCTCAGGAAAATACCTTCAGATATATATCCCATTGATACTGGGGCGTCAGTAATGTCAGCCTGATAGGAACAAGAACATATATATTTACATAACTGTTCTGCTAGAAAAACATTCTCTAAGAGAGGCACCATTCTAAATCATTACCTTTGGAATCAGGAGACCAAGATGATATTCCCAGCCTTGTTATTAACTAGGTGTACAACCTTGAGCAATGTTCTTTAACCTGTAATACTTCTCTCGATTAGCAAAATGAGGCAGGATAAAAAAGACCTCTAACGTGATTTCCAGGTTTGCACATGCTGCTTCATCTTCATGCACCACAAGAGATAGAAAATGAAAGTGCAAACCAAAGCTGTCAAACTACAGGCAGAACAATGTCTTGACCGAAAGACAGCCTATATTTTTAGCCTCCCTAGAAACCAGGACGAGAGGTGCCACGGCAGCCTCTAGCGCAGTGCTGAAACAGTAGTGCATGCCAAGCTTAAAACAAATGTACAGTCTAACCGGCACTCTGGCTCTTCCTAGAGCTGAATACTCACTCTTTCATCACAATAGAAAGCTGAGTCTTTCCCCTTCTGCCCTTCAGCCCAGCAAGTCAGGGGTTCAGTTTTCAGACTCAAATGGCTGAGAATAAAAACTCCATTAAAGAGGTACAGCTGAAGATGGCATATCTTCTTATTCTAGCTCAGGCAGCCTCCCATCTACGAGGCTGGAAATCAGCTATCCAGACTCTATTGCTTAGAAGCTCCCATATTCCAATATGTTGGGGAAAGGTAACTTGCAATTTATTTAACATGAAGTTTCCTGGTTTATTCCTTTCCTCACTCCTACCAGTCAAACTATACTGTAATCTGAGTTATAAATATGCTCTAGTTTTAGATTAAACAAAAAACTAAATAGGGGAAGAATTCAGGCCATGAAGTCAAACATGATTTAATTACATTTTTAGGCTGCAGTTTTATGGGTTACCCTATCCCCAAATTAAATATCTGGGATCATAAAGTATCAATAAAAATAATCAATATAGCCCAGAGCTGAATATTACCCCAAAATTACCTATTCAGAGCAAAATGACTCCTCTGCAGGCTCAAACTCTTTTGAATAATATACTCCTAAATCTTCCACCACTCTATGGCCCCATATCTCTTTATTAAAGAAAAAACTGCTCTGCTAATAGGGTCTCTAATCACACAATCTCTTTAGGACTTCATAAAGATCACTAGAAAACAATTCTCGCGTTCCAGAGTTGCTGCATGAACACTTACTAAACACCTAGAAGTGTGTAGGATATGTCACTGGCACTAAGTAGAGAAGGTTACAAGAGAGCCAAGACTGTCCTTGACCCCCAGGAGCTTATAATCAAGGTGAGCAGACACAGCATACCCACCAAAGATTTAAATACAAATTGACACTGAAAATCAAACATAGGAGCTGAGATATCACACAATAGAAATGTGACTAGAGTTGGTAGAGCCAAGAAGGAAAAATTCTGTAGAAATAGTGTGTTCTGGGTATGACACAGAATACAAATGTAGGGCATCCCAAGAAATACGAATGATATGGAAACAAGAATTAGTACGAGAGGGACTTCCCTGGTGGTGCAGTGGTTAAGACTCCGCGCTCCCAATGCAGGGGGCCCAGTTCAATCCCTGGCCAGGGAACTAGATCCCACATGCTGCAACTAAGAGTTTGCATGCCACAACTGAGGAGCCCTCGAGCCACAACTAAGGAGCCCGCTTGCCCCAACTAAGGAACCCGCTTGCTGCAACTAAGACCCAGTGCAACCAAATAAATAAATATTTTTTAAAAGAAGAATTAGTACAAGATAAGTAGGGGATAACAAGTGGCTCTGCTGAGGTGGAATACACAATCAATGGTATGAAATTACTAAACAGAGAACAATAGTGAAAACCTGATAGGAGGGTTCAGGAGTTTAGACTTAATACCCTAGGAAATTTCTAGAGGAGGCTAGTATAGGTACATGTGGCTAATATAGGTCCATGAGTCATTCATCCAACAAATATTGAGTGCCTACTATATGCCAAGCAATGTTTCAGGTGCTAGGGTTATGCTAGTGAAGACAAAGCCTAAAGATTATTTTATTATTTGCATGAAGGGAGAGTGACTGACTGGAATCAGGCGGCCCTGCTAAAATGACTGGCTGACTAACAATGCAAAGAAATGCATCTGAGAGAACTGGTGGTAAGGGGCGAGACCTAATCATAGGTTAGGAAAGGAATCACCTAACCAGGAAATAAGAGTGACAGAGAATTTAGGGTTACAAGATTCTCTGCTTGGATTCTTTCTTTGTTTTTAATTTACTTATTTATGTATTTATTTTTGGCTGCGTTGGGTCTTCGTTGCTGCGCGCGGGTTTTGTCTAGTTGTGGCAAGCGGAGGCTACTCTTCGTTGCGGTGCGCAGGCTTCTCATTGCGGTGGCTTCTCTTGTTGCGGAGCACAGGCTCTAGGCGTGCAGGCTTCAGTAGTTGTGGCACACAGTCTCAGTAGTTGTGGCTTGCAGGCTCTAGAGCGCTGGCTCAGTAGTTGTGACACACGGGCTTAGCTGTCTGCGGCATGTGGGGTCTTCCTGGACCAGGGATAGAACCCATGTCCCCTGCACTGGCAGGCAGATTCTCAACCACTGCGCCACCAGGGAAGCCCTCTGCTTGGATTCTTAACTGCTTCAGGTTCAGGGAGATACTTCAATTGAGTAATCTGAAGGTAACTGAAGAAGCATATTGGGAAAAGGGTAAAAGCAGTTTGTAGAGTAATAATCTCAAATGTGTAAGTTTAAACATAAAAGCAAACACTTAAAAGAGGGCTTACTAGCTCTGTCTAAGCACTTTACATACATTAACACTTAATCCTCACAACAGCCCTCTAAGGTAAGTCTATCATACTCATTTTACAAATGGGAAAATTGAAGAAGAGAGAGGTAGCTTGCCCAGGGTCAGAGATAGTTAAGTAACACAGTAAAATAATCTGATTCCTGAAGAAGTCAATGTGTAACACAGGGATAAGGCTATAGGGCTTGTGACAGCTCTACGAGACTCCCAGGTTAATGATATGGTTAAGGAGAGGAAGAAATGTGCTTGGAAAAAGGCAGAGGACAAATACCAGAGGGATGAAGAACCAAATGTGAATCACAAGGAGCAAGAAACCAACACTCCAAATGCAGCCCAACAATACGTTTGCCAATGATGTTAGTGACAGGTCAAAGAAGCATCTGGAAGATGAGGCAAAAGAAAGTGTTGACTAAGAAGTTTCAGTGCTGCGAAGCCACCACATGTAGTGACAAAATGGACCTATTACTATCACTGTCTCATCTATGATATTTGAGAGCAATGTGTAAAAAACAGGGCATGGTTAGAAGAGAGTTTTGCTTAAAGAAACACTGTATTTAAACACAGAAGGGAAGGAACCACTCTAAAAGTTGATAACATAAGGATTTTTTTACGTTTCCAAAAATCACTCCTAGCTATGTTTGCATATGCAATTTACAAAAGGCTTTTAATCATCACCCACTGGCCACTGACGGTGCAGTTCATCTAATAATTCTTCACTAGCTCTAAAGACATTCTAGCCAGGCTTGCTTAGATTGTTCACCTAAGTACTTGTCTTTTTTTCCCCTTCTCCTCAAAAACCCATTATAGGCCTCACTCAAGTCCTAGCAGAGACAGATGGCCACCGGGATAAATGACTGCCAGGCCACTGCTTCCGCAGGTCAGGAAGCCCTGAAAGCTCCCCAGGGTAGGAAGAAAGCTGCCAAGACTACCTTCTGTTCTGATTTCATACATAATTTTTTTTTTTTTTTTTTTTTTTTTTTTGTGGTACGCGGGCCTCTCACTGCTGTGGCCTCTCCCGTTGCGGAGCACAGGCTCCGGACGTGCAGGCTCAGCGGCCATGTCTCACAGGCCTAGCTGCTCCGCGGCATGTGGGATCTTCCCGGACTGGGACACGAACCCATGTCCCCTGCATCGGCAGGCGGACTCTCAACCACTGCGCCACCAGGGAAGCCCCATACATAATTTTTTGAAGTTGTTTTTATTTATCTTCTATCTAGATGACCGGCTCAGATGTTCTATTTTCCTTGGTCAACACTTTTCTATGGCTGTTTTTAATTAGGCTTCAAAATATTTCACAAGAAACTTATAAAGACTAAATTATATACCAAATAATAAAAATAGCTTTACTAAATGCCAGAATGTCTAACACTTTACTCTTTCTCAAGTAGCTTTCAGGTTAAAAAGAAAGACGTCTTTTTAAGCATTCGAAGGCCTCACTGGTTTTCCCTGTATGTTCACTCCTGCAAGACTGCAGCTCAGTCTTAAAATTTTTACCACGTGAGACTTGCAGAGCTACATGAACAAATCTGCAAAAGTTAAAAATAAATTTTTATGTAAGGAAACTTTTGAGGATATTAAAATGTTACCTTGATTGTAGTGATGGTTTCATGGGTGTTCACATGTCAAAGCTAACCAAACTGCACACTTTAAATATGTGCTGTTTAGTGTTCTTCAATATACCTCAACAGAGTTGAAAACATTTAATATTTAAAACATACTAGCAATCTGATGTAGAAAACGGTCCTCCCAAAATTAATTAAGAAATTAGGAAAGCAATATCCTAGAACTGCAAGGCTTTTGTCACATTGGGGGTTTCTTCCAAGGGTGAGAAAAGACGTCTTTATTCTCGACTTCACTTTTCTAACTGATCCAGAAGGCGTGAACTCTTCATAAAACATGACTTCCTAAGACAACAGAAGACCTAAACACTTAAGTGAGTTGGACACAGCTAAAAAGGAAAAGAACACTGAAATAACAGAAAGAATGGGAAGGAAAGAAAGAGTGGGTTAGACCTATAATTCAGGCAGCCCACTGTTGAGCCTGACAGAGGAATAGAAGACTGGAGAAGCAGTAAATGTGATAGAAGGAACAGTGGCTTTGGAGCCATCACACCCAAATTTTAATTTGAATCCTAATCTTGGACATATTCAGTCTGTTTCCTCAAGGACTATACTATCTACCTCACAAAGTAGTTGTAAGGATTAAATAATAAAACACATGCAAAATTGACTAGTACATATAATGTCAGTTCCCTTCTCATACAAGTTTTAAATCTCAGAACCAGGCTTACGGAGGAGAGCTCACCAATAGCAATATCACAAAGGATCAAAGTTTCATAATGTTTGAGCCCACTGCTTTACGCTACATGGGGTCCTTTACAAACCTCACAATAATGTCAAAAGGGCCATCGAAATTACCCTTCATCCAGGTGTTATGAGCCGTCTTTCAGGACTAACAAATTACAGGCTCTCTCATGCAAACATTTTGCTGGGAATTATATTAAGCTTATGTCTGATAGTCAGGCTTTAGGAGAAGCAGGTTCAGTTGTCTCATTCCACCAAATTAGCTATTAAGACTGGGATTCAGAAGTACCAAGTCTATCATCTCTTCTAGCAAGCACAGGTGAAAAGTGGCTTAGTTTGGATGTATTACCAAAGTCTTACGATGGTTAGACCATGATTAAGAGCTTGTGTAACATTTGGCCACATTTCTAACGGGACACTGATCTTTAATTCCAACTCTTTAAAAGGAACAGAGGAACAGACCAGCAGCACTCAGGCACTGGTTTATTTAGCTGACCTGGCTTTACAGAAGTGGAAGTCGGTGCAGTACACTTCCTGGGACCACATCAGAAACCCTGCTTTCCGTCCACCCCCACCACCCAGAATGGCAAAGAAAGGAGGTCTTCTTCAGAGACAAGCCTACTGACTCAGGGACAAACTCCCACCTCAGCTATTTTAGGCCCTTTGCTGCTCTACCTGAAGCAAAAGGGTGACAGCAGCCGAGGAGTGGATAAAGCTACACTGTGTAACTCCAAATCATTTTTGTTTCGTTGAGGATAGAGAGAGGAAAAGGATATAACATTTAATTTATGATTAGTCAGTCATCAGATCCTTTATTAAGGCCCCATTTCATTTCTAAACACAAGTCTGGTAAAAATCCTCTGTCTCTCATGTATGTACAATTTTCATGCTTTCGTTCTGAAGCTTTATGTTCATGAATTAAGTTTATTAAATGACAAATTCTTATAGGGACCTTTAAAGGAATCAGAATTCATGGCTTGCTTTTTTTTAAATTAATTTATTTTATTTATTTATTTTTGGCTGCGTTGGGTCTTCGTTGCTGTGTGCGGGCTTTCTCTAGTTGTGGTGAGCGGGGGCTACTCTTCGTCTCGGTGTACGGGCTTCTTGCGGTGGCTTCTCTTGTTGCAGAGCACAGGCTCTAAGCGCCCGGGCTTCAGGAGTTGTGGCTCGCAGGCTCTAGAGCGTAGGCTCAGTAGTTGTGGCGCACGGACTTAGCTGCTCCGCAGCATGTGGGATCTTCCCGGACCAGGGCTCGAAGCCGTGTCCCCTGCATTGGCAGGCAGATTCTTAACCACTGCACCACCAGGGAAGCCCCATGGCTTGCTTCTGAATGGGCGTCTAACACACTTAAAGGAAAGAGAAACAAGGCCTACACATATGCATTTCCTATCTGTCCATGTCTGAGAGAATTCACTTGTTTCTCTTTAGTATTAATAGAAGTATATCATTTTAAAGTATTCTAGGGACTTCCCTGGTGGCGCAGTGGTTAAGAATCTGCCTGCCAATGCAGGGGACACGGGTTCGAGCCCTGGTCCAGGAAGATCCCACATGCCATGGAGCAACTAAGCGCATGCACCACAACTACTGAGCCTGCGCTCTAGAGCCTGCAAGCCACAACTGCTGAAGCCTGTGCGCCTAGAGCCCGTGCTCCACAACAAGAGAAGCCACCGCAATGAGAAGCACGCACACCGCAACGAAGAGTAGCACCGGCTCACTGCAACTAGAGATAGCCTGCAAGTAGCAGCGAAGACCCAATGTAGCCAAAGGTAAACAAATAAAATAAATAAATTTATAAAAAAACAAAGTATTCTATATAGTGTGGGAGAGAACTAAAATGGTACACATGGAATTAACATTGAAAATTACTCATGTAGTAACTTTACAGAAAACACAGATGAAATGTCTTGACCCTGTAACTTAGTTGCTTTAGTTACCGTTAGATCTAGGACTTGAGTTCAAAACCCAATTTCATGACTTCTACCTCGGAAAAATAATGTAACTTCCCTGTGCTTCAGTTTTCTCATCTGTTTAAAATGGGGACTGTTGTAGGTGATTATCACAGGCATGAGAATTAAATAACATCAATTCAAAACATGAACTGATAGTATTCTATTATTTCTGATTCTCAGACCAGGAGTTCTTTTCATCACGTTGGCTTCCTATACACAGAAATGCTCTATTTATGCTATTTATAAGTGCCTTAGTTTTAAACAACTTAAACTGCATTATACATAATTTAATTTATTCACATTTGATATATTCTGAGATAAGAAAGACCAGGAAAAAGAAAAAAAAATTCTGGGCAACTCCTTTCTCACCTGTATTTTGAAGGTGACTAAAAAATAAAGGTTTTTCAAGAATTACTATTTTCTACCTCGCATATCCTGAAGAATGAGAAAGGACAAAAGAAAATGGCCTTCAAAAGTCCAACTGAGGGCTTCCCTGGTGGCGCAGTGGTTGAGAGTCCGCCTGCCGATGCAAGGGACGTGGGTTCGTGCCCCGGTCCGGGAAGATCCCACATGCCGCGGAGTGGCTGGGCCCGTGAGCTGTGGCCACTGAGCCTGCGCGTTCGGAGACTGTGCTCCACAACGGGAGAGGCCACAACAGTGAGAGGCCCGCGTACCGCAAAAAAAAAAAAAAAAAATCCAACTGAATGGGTAATAGTGAGCAGCTACTCCTCCTATACAGGGAAGATTAAGAAGGGAGCTTTTACACGTGAATTGCAAGGAGATGGAAAACACATTAATTGTAGATGCTAAAGAAATAAACAACAACCTTTCTAGAAAATTGGAAGGTAGGGAAAGGAGTAGGCAATTCTAAAAATCTTTTTAAATCTTCTGAATAATAATTTTAAAAAAGCATTAAATCCTCCTCTTTACCAGATAAACAGATACTGTTTCTGAACGAGCTCTCACCGAAAATATCTGAATAGCCACTATGAACCAGACTCTGTGAAATATGAAAATAAAAACCACCTTCTTTTCACCATGTTTATGCTAATTTGGGCATGCCATTTAATCTATAAGCTGGTTTCACGGGCAAAACACCGTATTTAGGAATGTTTTTAGGAATTTCAGGTAGTGACAAAACAGCACTCAATTAGAAAAAGGAAATAAGCTCTTTAAGAAATTTAAGATCATGAGTAAAAAATGCTATGTAAATAATGAAAACTAAAGCTCTTCTAGGATGGGGAGGCTGTGGAAAAGAAGTAGCAGACATTAGAATCACGGAGGGAGCTTTTTCCACAATAGTACACTATTACACATGTCCACATCATCCTCTACCTGAGTCACAATTTCCGAAGTGAAAATATACATTCATATGTAAAACCCCCAGGTAGTTATGACACCAACTTCCCTCTTAAAAATCCCTACTGCCATTTGAGAATAACAAACTAAAGACTTCTCACAGATATTAATAGAGGAAGATAATTAAAGAGCACAGAATTATTTTGTGCTTGGACAGGCAGGAATATAATAAATATAACCTGCTGACTGAACACATTAATTATCAAGGGAACCACTATAAGAGAAAGAAAAGAAAGAGAAAATATGGGGAAAAGGGTTTTTTGTTGTTTCCTTGAAACAACAGAAAAGGTAACTATCATCACAAGAAAAAAGGCCATTGACAAATACATAATTTTTATGCATAAAACACTGACACTAAATACAATTTAAATCAAAAAGGGCATAATCCTTGCTTACTTTGAGCATACAATCTAAAATAACAGACAACACAGATACAAACAACACTTACAAAGACATTTTCATATGGTTTTCAAGCTTTAAAGAACTTTATATATAAAGTTAAATATATATAATATTTATACTGGGAAGATAATATGAATAAGGTTGAGATAACAAAAAGATTATGGGAAGAGAAGAGAGGATGAGGTGAAAACAAAAAAGGAGATTTTTGGAAGAAAACTTAGAAAGGAGTGTATATCCTAGGATCTCTTCAGGCTGTCAATCTATGATTAGTTCAGTAATCTTATGGGTAATACTGACAGACAGAGATGAAGGGGATGGGCATGGATCAGGTGTGAGATGATGCTAAACTAACAATGTCCTCACTGCTAGGTGTCTAATTAATAAATCTACTACTGGGCTTCCCTGGTGGCACAGTGGTTAAGTATCTGCCTGCCAAGGCAGGGGACACGGGTTCGAGCCCTGGTCTGGGAAGATCCCACATGCCGCAGAGCAGCTAAGCCCATGTGCCACAACTACTGAACTTGCGCTGTAGAGCCCACAAGCCACAACTGCTGATGCCTGGGTGCCTAGAGCCCATGTTCTGCAACAAGAGAAGCCACCGCAATGAGAAGCCCGCTCACCACAACTAGAGAAAGCCCGCACATGGCAACAAAGACCAAACACAGCCAAAAATAAATAAATAAAATAAAAATTTTAAATAAATAAATCTGCCACTATTGTTGCTATTGAATCAACATAACCTCAAAATTCCATTAGGCATATGCCCAAAAGAAGGGTATCCTAAAAGCCAAAGAAACATGTTACCAGTAGACAGTACATCCAGAAAATGACTGAAATCTATAATTTAGGTGCAAGGAATTTACTTGTTAATGTCAGAGTTCAAGAAATACAATCCTTGAGAGGGCAGACAGCAGAGGCAAGAAGAACTACAATCCTGCAGCCTGTGGAACTAAAACCACATTCACAGAAAGATAGATGAGATGAAAAGACAAAGGGCTATGTACCAGATGAAGGAACAAGATAAAACCCCAGAAAAACAACTAAATGAAGTGGAGCTAGGCAACCTTCCAGAAAAAGAATTCAGAATAATGATAGTGAAGATGATCCAGGACCTCGGAAAAAGAATGGAGGCAAAGATCGAGAAGATGCAAGAAATGTTTAACAAAGACCTAGAAGAATTAAAGAACAAACAAACAGAGATGTACAATACAATAACTGAAATGAAAAATATACTAGAAGGAATGAATAGCAGAATAACTGAGGCAGAAAAACGGATAAGTGACCTGGAAGACAGAATGGTGGAATTCACTGCTGCGGAACAGAATAAAGAAAAAAGAATGAAAAGAAATGAAGACAGCCTAAGAGACCTCTGGGACAACATTAAACATAACAACATTCGCATTATACGGGTCCCAGAAGGAGAAGAGAGAAAGAAAGGACCCTCACACCAATCAGAATGGGCATCATCAGAAAATCTACAAACAACAAATGCTGGAGAGGGTGTGGAGAAAAGGGAACCCTCTTGCACCGCTGGTGGGAATGTAAATTGATACAGCCACTATGGAGAACAGTATGGAGGGTCCTTAAAAAGCTAAAAATAGAATTACCATATGACCCAGGAATCCCACTACTGGGCATATACCCAGAGAAAACCATAATTCAAAAAGACACATGCACCCCAATGTTCACCGCAGCACTATTTACAATAGCCAGGACATGGAAGCAACCTAAATGCCCATCGACAGACGAATGGATAAAGGAGATGTGGTACATGTATACAATGGAATATTACTCAGCCATAAAAAGGAACGAAATTGGGTCATTTGTAGAGACGTGGATGGATCTAGAGACTGTCATACAGAGTGAAGTTAAGTCAGAAAGAGAAAAATAAATATCGTATATTAACGCATATATGTGGAACCTAGAAAAATGGTACAGATGAACCGGTTTGCAGGGCAGAAATTAAGACACAGATGTAGAGAACAGACGTATGGACACCAAGGGGGGAAAGTGGTGGGTGGGCGGTGGTGGTGGTGGTGGGATGAACTGGGAGATTGGGATTGACATGTATACACTAATATGTATAAAATGGATAACTAATGAGAACCTGCTGTATAAAAAAATAAATAAAATTCAAAAAAAGATACAATCATCAGCACTACTATTTATTAAGTGTTTTTTGGACTATGGTAAGCAATTTACATGTTTTATAATCACATTTAATCAATACGACCACCCTACAATGTAGGTACTTACAATCCATATTTTACAGATGAGAGAAATGAAGCTTACAGAAAAGAAGCAATTTGCCCAAAGGCACATAGCTATAAGTAATACAGTAGAGGCAGGAAGTAAGGCTAGGTCTGATACCAAAGCCTGAGCTAAACAAGAGCTAAAGCCTATGCAATATTTTAAACTCAAAATATGAAGTACTTTGGGATGGTTAGGGTTTAATACAACAAAATGTATCCAAAGTAAAATTTCAATTACGTAATTACACCTAAAAGATGGAAGGGATTTCACCAATACCAGTGAGGTGTAGGTAAAAACATATAACTAAATAGCTAAGTTATAAACTAATGGTGAGTTAGAGTACCTGACGAAATATAATTCAAAAGTCCACCCAAGAAACATTATTGATAAGTTTCAGATATGAACAAGGGAAATCAATCAAGGGTACCAATGACAATAATATTAATACACATAAAGTTATTACAGAGCTTTCAAAGAGGAAAGCTTGAGGAAAGTCAATTTGATTCTTTCACGCTAAAGCAGAAAATATTCCTTAAACATAGAGGGGACGAGTTGAGGCTCATCCAATATTCTCAAATTTCCAAGAATAATTCTCCCCAGTCTGTTGGTTGGTGGGGCTGCCAGGATCATTACTTTGCGGTTCACACAGATAAACAGAAATGAGGGACTTGAGTTTTTAGAGATCTGAGCCCGTTTCTAATAGGATATGCATAGGTCCCTACCTTAAATGTAACAGAGCTGTTATGCCTCCATGAACTTGTAAACAAGGCCATAATTAACAGAACAAAATTAGATTTTCCCATAAGTAACTATGACAGGTACAAAGTAAGGAAGTCAAAGTTCCAAGGTTCTGGGCCTTGGGCTCCTAAATCACAGATAAACACCACCCCCACCCCACTCGTGGGCCTGTACAGATACCAATATATTCTGCTTTTAAAATATAGGATGTAAGCAGTAAAAAGAGATGGATGATAAAACTAACTGTAAAGGAAGGCCCTTCCCTTTATATTATATAAAGGTAGTATTTGAAGACAAATTATAGAACTAAGAAAGGTAATGGAACAAGGTGATGTCCACTCCAGTCATGTAAGAAGTAAAGAATTCAGAGACTATCCATGAAAATAGGGACTAAAGAGTCATACTAAAACTGCATTCTATTATAAACTTTTCAAATGTAGGACGGATTATTTTTACACCTGCGTAGAAAAAGTGATCTATATATAGTGATCTATATATATAGGGTGCTCAATGTTATTAACCCAAGCCCATCCTAATAAGGTTTTATTACTAAAGAACAGAACAGCTATGGAATATATATTTTTAAAAGTTTCTTGGAAGCACAATTAATTCGGAAAATTAATGGAGATTTGGAACACTGGGAAGGATACTAAGTTAAATACCTTTTATTTGACAAAGAGTCAAAGCCGATGATTAAACAGTGAAAAGCACTGTTCCTCTGAAAATGTAGACAAAGTAAGATACTGAACGATACTTGTGTTTCTCTTCAGATCGTATGAATCTTTCATCTTTTACTAAAAATTCCCATGGGGGGGAAAAAGAAAGGAAAGAAGAAAAGAAAAAAAAGGAAGATACTGCAAACAAAACAATGAGAGTATAATAATAAATAGAAAACTATTCAACGAAATATAGGATTATATCGGGCCTAAAGAGACAACTTAGAAAAATATTAACTTGAAAAACTGAAAAGTCAATTTATAAATATAGTAATCAACAGAACAAGAATATAATATACTGTAAAATTAACATCTAAATCTTAGTATAGCATGAAACTTTTTTGTTTCTAATCAAGGAGACTAAACATGAGGATATGCATGCATCCAGCATACATGTGTCCCTGGAAACATTCAAAGCTTATGGTGGTCGTTAGAGTCACATTCCTAAGCAAAGGAGAGAGGTTTCTAATAAAGCTCAGGGATATAGTCATAGAAAACTGTCCTTAAGAATATGTGAGACTCACTTCTAAGTTTAGGTTTGCTCATTATGTTAAAAACAGACTTAATGAGAAAGGATAATGACTAAAGGTGTGTCCACTGAGTCTCCATGGCTTCTGAGATCTAAACTTGAGACTACCTCTCTAGTGCTAGCAGGAAACCAGTGAACTAGAAGCTCTAGAAGATTGGGGCCGGGGGGAGGCCTTGATGGAGAACTAGATTAGATGGAAGTTAGAAAATACAGGTTTATCAAGTGTTCTCTTTCTTGATATTAAAAAATACACACACACACACACACACAGAGTAAACCTATCTCCAGCTAAAAGATATACAAGAAGCAAAGAGGAATGTTCCTCTTTGCTACATTAAAAAAAAAAAAAAATTAGAATAATGCATAGCAGGAAAATGAACACTTCCCATTTGGTTTCTTGCCATTAGAAAGGAGCTGATGATGTTCCACTTTGTCCTTGACAACAACCAAACCTACCATGTGGTAACGTTATGTTCGCACCATCAATGATTGCCTGTGCCAGTTCATGATCATTGCTTTCAAAAGCATGTGCTGCAGCCTTCAAGGCATCCCAAATCTCTTTACGGCCTTCAAAAGCTGGTGCAGTATCCCAAAATTCATCTCTCTTGCTGCGTAGTTGTCCATCTGTCATGGGATAATCACTTTTCCATTTGGGTTTCTCCTTTTTCAAAGGCTGGTTACGACCTAAAGCGACTGAGAAGAAAAATAAAAGGCTGACATCAAAACCAAAATTTATAAAAGATGTTTTAATAGCTATCTGGCCATTCTTCTTTGGTTCTTTCATCAAAATTATAGCTGGAAAGTTGGCCCACTAGCTAACTCCTGCATTCTGAATTCCCCTAACCTATTTTATTTTAGATCTACAAGAGCAAATGGAGATATTAGGTGGCTCTACCCAAATCTTCCAGTAACAAGTTAGTAGCTCTTTTCCATTCAGTCTGCCTTCTCCAAAGGAGAATTTTTGTTTGTTTTTTGCGGTACACGGGTCTCTCACTGTTGTGGCCTCTCCCGTGGCGGAGCACAGGCTCCAGGCGCGCAGGCTCAGCGGCCATGGCTCATGGGCCCAGCCGCTCCGCGGCATGTGGGATCCTCCCGGACCGGGGCACGAACCCGCGTCCCCTGCATCGGCAGGCGGACTCTCAACCACTGCGCCACCAGGGAAGCCTGAGAATTTTTTAAATTATCTAGAAAAATCGTAGTAAGTGTTCCATCAGATAGCAGTGGCAGAATTTAAAGAGTCAAAGGATAGCATAAAAGAGAGGTGAGATACTAGGAGAAACCAAATGGCATATGTCCAAGGGTCCTTGAATCTCAGGACCCTTGAACATATGAAGCCGGAAAGCAGGAACTGAGAAATCTCAAAGAGGGAAAAGACTACTTTGCGGTATCCAAAGGAAGAACAGCCAAACCACCAGATCCACGAGGAAACCTGATCATAGAAAAGCTTCCTCTAGCACTCTGTTCTGGACATGAGTCTAAGGAACTGTAAATATCTTTCCCTGAAACTCAAATATAGAAGCTAATTTAGAAAAGGATGAGGGAGAGAGGTAGTGCTTTACTCTTTAGAGGGACCAGGATTGGAACAGGCGATCCTTGATACTAGGCCAAAGGAGAAGTGCCCAACCACAAGGAGAAGAACTACAACACCCTACTCTAGTTTTAATCCAAGAGGAGAAGAAAAAAGAGGGTAAGAGTCCACTCCTTTTTTGCTCTAAGTGGCAGCGTGGCTCCTTAGAGAATGTAGTAGTAGTGCTATAACGAGTCTGATGCAGCTTCTTTGCACCCAGATACTTATCTGGCATATGATCACTGATCTCATACTGACATACAGAGACATTCTTATCTTACACAGAGCCACAGATAAGAAATTGTTAAACAGAAGAACAGGTAAAAAGAAAACTGAAGCTCCATGGAGTGTTGGGTAAGAGTGGGTGTGAAATAAATGACAGAGTGGGTAGGAGGGAGAGGGTGTATATCAAAATTCAATGTTCTATATTTAATTGCAGGAAGAATACTAATTTAAAAGAAATTACTCTCAAAATGGTTCTAAAGAATCCCTGATATCAACCATTCCCTCACTGGCCCAGGGTCAGACGAAATTTGAGTTATTCATAACAGAAATAAAACAAAATAACTCTAGCCCCTAGGCAATCTCTACATCCTATACCAGGCTATATTTCAAGATGACGGGACCAATTCATGCTGCAAAGTGTATCTGGTCTGACACTTGGAGTAAACCATGCTCTCTCCTCACCCAATCTGGCCACCTTATTTCAAGGCAGCACATCAGGTCTCATCCCCTCACCTTCAGAACACCCAAAGGTGTTCAGAATATGTCAGATAATCACATTCCACCCCCTACTGATTCCACCAACAAGGTAAAATTAAAGGTAAATTTTATTTTCTGCTATATTAACCTTTAGATGAATCAGAAACAGTTTAGAGACAACATTCACTATTAGTTTACTGAGCAGGGAGTGGAAGATAAGACATCACAAGTAGATACCTATTTGAATAGGTAGCTAATTCAATACTCAAATAAATACCTATTTGAATAAAATTTCATGTCTACTTGAAGAGTTCCAGAGAATTGTCTAATGTCTATTAGACAATTGTCTATTGTCTAATTGTCTAAAGTCATATGTATTAAATGTACCAGAGAGAAAGTTGATATAACTGTAATTGTGGGAGAATCGCAACGCAAAGGCAAAGACAACAACAAAACCTCCAAGATCTCGGTACTTAAGCAAAGGAAACTGAAAGGTCCTCAAAGAGAAGAACCCAACAGAAAAACTAGCTCACAGTAAAGGTAGAAGATACTCTGGAAAAAGTAAAAGCACCTTCCTTACAAATATGACAGCTTTATTTTATCTCCCCTCACCTGTAGAAGGCATAAGAATAAAGTCAAATAAAAAGTATAGATGGGACTTCCCTGGTGGCACAGTGCTTAAGAATCCTCCTGCCAATGCAGGGGACACGGGTCCCAGCCCTGGTCCGGGAAGATTCCAAGTGCCGCGGAACAACTAAGCCCGTGCGCCACAACTGCTGAGCCGGCGCTCTAGAGCCCGCGAGTCACAACTACTGAGCCCACGTGCCACAACTACTGAAGCCCGTGCACCTAGAGCCCATGCTCCGCAACAAGAAAAGCCACCGCAATGAGAAGCCCGTGTACCACAACGAAGAGCAGCCCCCACTCACCGTAACTAGAGAAAGCCCGCGTGCAGCAACGAAGACCCAACGCAGCCAAAACTAAATAAATAATTTTTTTAAAGTATAAATGATACATTATGCTGCTTAGGAATAATCATTACTCTAAATGCATTTTCAAATCTGTATGCTGTCAACAGTTCCAAAGTAATCACTTTGTGTAAAAGTAAATAAGACAAAAAGAATGCTTGTGACATGTAAGTAAAGCTTACTTTTACTTCCGCCTAGGTCTCTGCTTTCCCTATATCACAAACATCTGTAATGGAGAATATCTGCCTATCAAATGTCCACTATAAAAATACTTAAGTCTTGGGACTTCCCTGGTGGCACATTGGTTAGGACTCTGTGCTCCCAATGCAGGGAGCCCAGGTTCGAGCCCTGGTCAGGGAACTAGATCCCACATGCATGCCGCAAGTAAGGAGCCCACGTGCCACAGCTAAAACCCAGCACAACCAAATAAATATTAAAAAAAAATACTTAAATCTTTGCAACATAAAATATTTTAATGAAACCACTAAGCAGTACAGAATTTTCACTACAAAATATGAGGTTAAAAGCTTCACGTTAGGGCTTCCCTGGTGGCGCAGTGGTTGAGAGTCCGCCTGCCAATGCAGGGGACGCGGGTTCGTGCCCCGGTCCGGGAAGATCCCACATGCCGTGGAGCGGCTAGGCCCGTGAGCCATGGCTGCATGGGTGCTGAGCCCGCGCGTCCGGAGCCTGTGCTCCGCAACGGGAGAGGCCACAACAATGAGAGGCCCGCGTGCCGCAAAAAAAAAAAAAAAAAAAAAAAGTTTCGTGTTAAACTAAATGTGGTTTATCGTCTAAGTTATTACTTTTGTTAAATGAACTGGGGAAAAACATGAAAATTTCGCAAAAGCGTTTAAACTATCATCCTGAAATATTTATCTTCATGAAAACATTTAGGGTTGTTATGAGGATTTAATAAATTAACACTGTATAGCACTTACAATGATGATAGATATATAATAAAACTACAGTAAGTGCTTGTTAAATAAAAATAACTTTGGAAGTATATATGAATTTTTAAATCTTCAAACATTTTTGCAAAAATATACAGACTAAGTCTTTTTTCTTTTCATGATTTCTGAACAGAACCTGACATTCTGAGACCATAAAACAAAGTACCTTAATTTTTCCTTACCGAAAAAAAAAAAAGAAAGAAAAGATTAATAAAGAAATTAATTTTTTTAAAAAAACCTAAGTTATTTCAGAAAACACCCTTTTTTCCCTATCAATACACATTTACTTTCAAAACTTTGCCAAAAACTCACCCTTCTCAGAAGCCTCTTGATAACATTCATCTACGCCTTATCTTCTCTTTCCTTGTAACCTTTCAACATTTCTTCCCAAAGATGTGACAAATAAATAGATCTAACATGTAAAAACCCCAAGAAAGATTTGCTTCTCAGAGCTAATATCGATAAGAAACACAATCTTAAATATTTTTACTCCACAACCGAATGCATTTTGCAACTCATTTTGACATTTTATTGGTAAAAAACAATGATCTCTGAAGTGAAGTATGTTTGTAATTGTTTTCCTGCTTTTGGTTCCTCTTTTGAAAACTGATTTAATATTGGGACTCTTCAAATGAAGTAAGGAGAGGCCATTAATGCACAGGTACTGTAGATATCACAATATGACTCAAGAAATAATAGCTTTAACAGACTGAAAACTCAAAGAGTTTTCCTAACACAACATTCAAGTAAAAAAAAACTGAATATTTAAAAAGATCACAATCAAAGGGAAAAATGTTGTTCAGAAGAATTCTGAAGACTTTAAAGCAACACGGAATAGAACTCGGATAATGCACCTATTTTAGATTGATTATAGAGTCTTAAAATCGTGAAAATGAAAGGGAAATTTTTCTGTCACTTCAAGAGTTAAGAATAGATCCTACAGAACCCTTCTGTAACAGACTGTGCTAGCTTAAAAGGATAGTTGTAAAATATTTTATTCTCACGTAAATTTAGAATACACTATATATACACGTACGCATACATATATTCCCTAAGGCAACTAACTGCCAAAATAAAAATAGGGATATGGGGCTTAAAATGCCTAAAATACGAGCATCAACACGCCAACAGTCAATACCAAACCCATATCTGCTCTACTGTCTGAGAATTTAGAGGTGGAAGAGACCTTAGATGGTTTGAGCAACCTTACTATTTGACAGAAGACCTAACGAGGATAAATGACTTGCTCAAGGTCAAAAAGAGCCAAGACTAGAACCCAGATGACTAGATTCAAAGGCCAGAGCTCTCTTTGCATTATAGCACTCCATGTCTTACCAGAGCTGAGAAGTATGTTTTCTTTTACAAACCAAATCAATTATGAAGGTTCACTCAAAATAAAGCATGTGTTGAGCTGTTTTTCTAGTATCACTCATCCATCTTTCACGGGCTTCATTATGACCAATGGAATGTCTCTGGTACGACAAAGGAAAAGCTAACCAAGCAGCA